AATTTAAGAATTGAAAACTTACCTCAATTTCTTGTAATTTATCCTCATACAAGATTCGGAATGACCAAATGAAAATAACCAAATGATCAATTGGCTGGTAATCTGTTAATCTGAGAAAAATCAAGCTTGAACATTCTGAATGCGTGTGCGGACAGCCCACCCAAATTTTGTCAAAATTCCGTGAGAATGAAAACAGTTTTGCCGAAATTAACTTGGTTCCTCACCAAGCCTCATCGCACCAAGTTTTAAAAAGAAATTAATCAAAACGTTTGAAACTAATCACTAATTGCATTGTTTTAATTAGCAGGCCCGAGCGTTACATCAGTTATCAATTTAACTTTTCGAATTTTGCAATTTAGTCCCTGGTTTCTGGCCTTAGTTTGATCTAATCCCTGATTGCTTTAACAATTTATGTTATGCCCCTTCAACTTTTATTTCATTTAATTAAATCTCTTAAATTTTCAATTGAGTCCCCTACTTTCTTCTTTCCTTCTATTACACCCTTTATTTTTTTATTTTTTATTTTTTCAAAAAATCTGGAGTTTTTCAAAAATCATTTGAGGTTTATTATTTTTGACAGAAAATAAGCCGGTCTCTAGGTTAATTCAAATAGAAAAAAATTATTGGACTTTCGTTACTCGTTGACACTTGGTCTTAACTCATGAGTCTAATTTGTTATCAATTTAAAATATATAATATATATTTATACATATAAGTTAGATCATATGAGTTATATATTATATAATATATAATTTTATAATTTAAATAAATTTGACTTAAAATGCTAATAAATAAATTAGATATTACTAATTTTACAAATAAATCAAATCAAAGTTAATTTTTTAGCTTATTATAAATTATGAGTTAAATTCAGGTTAATAATTTTTATAATAAACCTAACTTTTTTTAAGCCTCGACCAAACTTAATCCAACTTATTCCAATAGCTGCCATGAAATATGGACAAAATTGCCACCTTATTTTTCCATGCACAGGTAAGAGCTCGAAAGGTCACGCACACGGTCTCCTTCTCCATCTGTCATGATTTGAAAACACTTTCTCCTATTCTCCTTCTATCTCTTGTTTTTCTTTTTTCTAAATTTCTTGAGAGTGGCATCAAATTATTGCAAATGGACGGCCAATGTATTTACTCAGTCCAGACCTCATCAGATGGAAATAGTGGGCCCAATTCCTTTTTCTGTAGGCCCATATAGGCACTGAACCCGATACCATCAATGGACCCATCCACATGGCTCTTGACTCAAAATGGGCCCAAATCCCTCCCCCACAATAGAAAATCAAAGTGTGCGTAACGTGTTTAATTTTTATTTAAGATAATAAAAAATAAAATATATTTTATTAATTTTGACAGGCAAAGGCTTGGTGGATCCGACCCGAGCCCTCTAAACCTCAATCATTAGGGTTGGATTCGGTATGGGTGATTAACAATGTTAAATTTAAACGGAATTAATGATTTAGCTGAATAATAATATTCCCCGCATGTGCCAAACACAGGAGATATTTTAATTTCTTAATTTCTGTGTAAAAAAAAATCTAAAAAGGTTTTGCAAGCTAATTTGTATCTCTTTATTTACAATTTTATTTTAAAATCCAATGGAAATAAATATGTCTTATTAAAGGTATCTAATTAACTATGTATAAAATTATAAACTAATATGTAATTGGAAGAATATATTCATAAATTTGACACTCTAAGTTAAGATTATTTTTTGTAATATATACTTTGATACTTTGATGCATTATGTCATGTGGTTTGATTTGTAGGTTCGGGCTGGTAGTTTGTTAATATTTTACCTAAAAAATAATTAAAAATTTCAAAATTTTAAGGAATTTGTTAATTAAGTAACATTCAATTATCCCATTTACTTGGGTAATATTGAACCTTGTTACGGTAGTTTAATCTTAAAAATATATGCACCAACTAAATATAAAATAATTGACAAAATATGAAAAAAATAATATATGTATTGTAATAAAATTATGAAATAATATTCATCAGACGTGGTAAAAATGGTAAGACATTATTATGTCTATAAACAGATTCGAATTCATGAAACATACTTTTGAGAATGGATAGTTAGAATACCATAAATACGATTAATCTCATATTTTAATATAAATAAGCACCCTTGTAAGAAAAAAAAATAAAAATAATATAATTCATTGTGTGTGTGTATATATATATATATATATATATATATATAAGAGGGTATATGTGTAAATGACATATAGAAGAAAGGATAAATGCATAAATAACATATGATTTTTTTTAATTATTGAGATGTAAATAACATGTAATAATATAGTTTATGACAGCGGGAATTGCTTAGTTTTGTTTCTCAATTAGCACATATAAACTCATAATTAGCCAACGGTAAAAATTTTAAATTTAAGTATAATAATTTTAAAAATAACGCCAATAAAAGTGACCTTTAGGATCCAAGCACGTTCTTATTATTATAAATATTAATCCTTGTAAGAATATATGAAATTATCTGTATAAGTGAGTGGAAATGTGCATATTTGACTTTTAAATACGTGGTAATGATTTTTAATTTATTTATTTTAAAATTTCTCCTACTAAAAATTATTTATTTAAAATACTTTATTCATAGTTATTAATTTATCCAAGAAGATTTTGTTTTTCTCTCATTATTAATTTATTTTTATTTGTCCTGAAGCATACACCGGAAAATTAGGCGTTGGTATTGCCGTCAAACATCTCTCTCTGTGTCAAGCGCCTCGTGCCTTAACCTCGTATTTCGTCCTTCTCTCTCCCAAAATTTTCAGTTTCCGTCCTGTTCGTGTTTCTATCCATGTCTTCTCTCCCTGTACCAGAGAGTGGTTCAGGAAAGCTCATCTATGGCTTCTGCAGAAGAGCGAAGAGAGGGACCGGCGAAGGAAATGGTGCATAAGACCAAGACAATTCAGTTCCTTGGACGCACCACGCCAATCATTCTTCAGAACGACAATGGCCCTTGCCCTCTCCTCGCTATCTGTAAATATTTCTCTCTCCTCACTTAGGGTTTCTGCTTTTTCCAGGCGAGCGTTCCTTCACTGCGGACCGCCTCACAATCAATTTTCAACCTTTATGAAACTCACTGCATTATATCAATAAATGATTTGGACAGCGGTGTATTGCTGTATGCAATTCAGATATCCATCGAAATATGATATTGCGAGTGATGAATTATGTGGAATTTGAAACTATTTATAGGTCATCTTCGTTTCTTTTGATTTGGGAATAATTATGCCATTATGATGAATCACACCATCGTCTGCAGAGTGCATGCACTAAGCTTGTGGACTGTTCTGCAGTTTTAAGTTTACTAAAATTGGAGAAAGAATAAATTCCCCCAGCCCCAACCCCATCCCCCCCCCCCCCCCCCCCCCAAAAAAAAAAAAAAGAAAGAAAAAGGAAAAGGTATTATGGGAGAAATTGCTATTGAGTATGACTTCGTTGTCTTATATCCTCTCACGTTCTGTAATTAACTAACTTTTTCGCTTGCTTTGAATCTGCAACTAAATTGGAGATTGAGAGTTGAGCTTTTGAATTATTAGGATCCCTGTAAGAACCCTTATAAAGGAAGAACATTTTGAGGAAAAACAAGAACTTGATACAGCTGCATGAAAGGGTAAGGATTTGACAAAACCATGTTGAAGAACCCGAACAGGAACATGACTGAACTTGTGTCCTTTCTTTGTAAATTACTGGATATAATTTGTTTCTTGTGCCTTTTAACTCTCCTAGCAGCTGTTGACATTTGATTTGATACGTGTACTTTTTCCTGCTATATGTATGATCCAAAATATTTCTGTGTTGTAATCACCAACTTGTTCTGTGTTTGTTAGGTAATGTTCTTCTGTTAAAGAACAATTTGATTTTAAGTCCAGACATTGCTGAAGTATCTCAGGAAAATTACTTTCACTTGTGGCTGAGCGGCTAATTGATTCAAACAGTAATATTGATGTAATTGATTTTGGTTGTTTGGTAAATTTGAATCACTATGTGGTTCTTGGAATGAGAGAATGGAAAAAATAAACACAATGCACCTGGGGGGTGGTTTTATATACTGGTTTCTGCTCACTCTCTTTTCTGTTCTCTCAGATGTGACAAGAACCACATAGAGGATGTGCTATCTTTTTTGCTGATGTGTTAGATTTGACCCTTTTTGATTCGGTACAGAACAAAGATGCTGGGTATGTTGAGAATCAACAACAACAAATATTGCTGATGCAATTGATCTGCTTCCTCGACTTGCAACTGGAATTGATGTAAATACAAAATTTAGGAGGTACACATATTCCTCTGAAGTGACTGTTTCTCACCTTTTACCACAACAGTTTTGTATTAGCAAAATCTGTGCATGATTTTTGTAGAATTGGTGATTTTGAGTTCACTCGCGAGTGTGCAATATTTGATCTTTTGGATATTCCCCTCTATCATGGCTGGATAGTTGACCCCCAGGTATGTTCTCTTTTCAGGTCTCAAACCTCATTGTTGAAACAACTTGTGTTCTACTTTACATTAATCCAGTGTGCATAATAAAGAAACTTTTTCCTTCCTTTTTTGGGTCTTGGGGTGTTTGACCAATTTTTTGTCCTATGCTTTAACTCTAATAGCAGAATTGTTGGGATCTGCTCTGTGTTTAGTCTTTAGCCCCTTACAGTCTTAATTTAATTTGCGAGTCCCCAAGCAAAGCCCATTATGTGCCATTATGAAATTTGATGTTACTAGCTTTCATCTGTGCCTAAGATGAAAATGAAGGAAATAACATCTTACTACATGGGTGCTCTATGTTATGGTCAACGTGGATTTAGAGTTCCTCTCAATTCTATCTGATGTTTCCTTTCATATGTTAGGACTGGGCAACTGCTATTGCAGTCAAAAACATTGGACTAAACAAATGCAGGAGTTTCCTGTCTATGACTCTATGACAATCTCACATGAAACTACCTATATCAACTTCCTGATGTCTGCATAGTGTTTGCATATCTCCCATAATAAGTTTTATCTGCGCAATAAGCTTTAAAATCAGAAAGAGGCTTGACATGTGAGATTTGCAATTCTGTTTGGATCTTTTACAGATGGCTTGTAATGCTGAGACTATGTCTTGAAACTTAAGATTCACCAGCTCATATAATCTATATAGACAGGGTCTTTTATTTGTATTAGTAGATTCAGATTCCTGTGAATTTTCCAATACTTTGTTATTCGTTTGAATGTTTTAATCATTTTTGGTTTCCAGTAATTCTTTGGTGGGTCATTTACTTTCAATGACTTTCCTCCTCTTATGACAATAACCATAGTATAACCTTCTTCTTAAAGTGGCCATTTTATGATAGCTAAACTGTTTCGGTAAATGCTAATGACACAAATACTTGCATACATCCACACAGACCCATACACACGTGTTGGGGTGTTTAAATAAATTGCTGAAAGTTCTTCTAAGGACATGCTTGAAAGGGAGTTGGCAATTTCAAAGTATGGAGGTGGTTAGAAATGCCTGCATGGCTGCATCTTGCTGGAAGTGAAGTTCATGTTGTATTTAGAATTCTTCTTCAATTGAGGTTCTACTGAAATTACAGGCCCCTAAATTATGTCAACCTGACTATCCTGTGTAATAAAAAAATTAGGGTTTGGCGTAGTTATTCAGTCATAAATTAGATAGAGTAATTTAAAGTTGCATTGGAGAGCAGAGATTTTCTCTGTGCCATGAGGTTCTAGCACACTTTCCTTTTTAAATTTATAGGTTTTGTATGCACATGCAATTGCAGGATCCACCAACAGTGGGCGATGATCAACTACAAAAACCATAAACTCTGGTCACACTTGAGGACACTTGGCATGGAGGCATGTTCCTGGACACATCAACTCTACCCATATCCCTTCCTTATTTCCTTAAATGTGCTCAACATTCATCCTACTACATCATCTGAATGATGATTCTCCATCCCTGTCCTCCCTTACCTTGTACTCAGGTGAAAATGTGAAGGAAATATGTGATGCATTTTTTCCTATGATGAACAATCATTCACCAGGGGCAGATGGTCTTCTGCAAAGTAACACAAAGTGAGCAGGGAGTTTTAGTGTGAATATAGGTGGTTGGATTGATCTGGTTACTTTATGTTCCAGTTATTTTCTGATTGAGGATTAATTACGGAATGTGTGCAAAATGTGCCATTTTAGGTTTGTTTTTGTCAACTTCAGATGAGGTGATGTGGGATCCAAAGATTTTGCCTCTTCACTGAAGGAGGATAAAATATGATGAAATCATAGGTTAAGTATTCTTTGTGTCATCTGAAGAAAAGAGATGTGACATGGTAGTTTAAGAAATATTTGAAATCATTGGATGAGGAAAGAAGAGTGTGGGAACTTGTTTAAAAATTAATTTTCAGGTTATTTTAGATTCAGGTCAAAAATTAAGACTAATTGAGTAATTATTGTACCTCTTTGGGTGGTTTGGGATTTGGTTGACCATTGGAATATGATTTACCTATTCTATGCAAAAATGGATCTGGGTATTGGATTGGGCAAATCCATGACATATAGAAAAATAAGTTAAAATAATTATGTTAAGTTTTGCTAGTTATGTGTATGTAGTGCAGATTTTAACAAGAGATTGGTATGAGATGAAATAAAAAGTTAGTCTTGTAATTCTCATAATGACGTGATTTTTGTAGCTATTTTGTATCAATCTTGAATTCAACTAGTAAGGCTCTGGGTTGAATTGATTCCATGAAATGAAACTTGGCACCTTTGGTTTGACATGTCCCTTTTTTTTTTTTTTTTTTTTTTTTTTTTTTTTTTCTGTTGGAAGGGGAGGGTTGCTTGAGCAAAGAAATAGTTTAGTTGCCAGAAAGGTGGGGAGAGTTGACATGAAGGGTTGGGAGAAGATAGGAATTGCTAGAGAAGTGGAGGATGAGGGATTATAATAGTGGTTTTTTGCTTTTGTTTGATATAACCCTTTGTGAAGTGATTTGAGTGAATGGTTAAGGTGGAGAGTGAGCTTAATATAGATGAATCGACAACACACACACACACACACACACACACACACACACACACACACACACACACAGAGTATAGGGAGCCTTGGGTCAAGGTGAAGTTACTCTTCTATGACTAGAAGGTCACAGGTTTCGGTCATGGAAATATCACAAACAGAGGTAAGGTTACACATACTCGACAACCTCCCCAACCCTTTCGAAGAGTTTTTAGTCATTTCTCTCTCATGGAAGAGACAAAAAATTGAGAGGTTTTTGATGTGTTTGTGTTCTTTGAAGATTATTAATTTGAAGTCTGATAAAATAAGATGGTATTTAACTATGTATTAATGCCTGCTGCATTATGGTGACAAATTATCTTGTTCTCTGTAGCTTCTGAAGTCGTATTTTCTAATTAGCTCGTTTATTATATATGAGGTAACTGGCTTTAGTTTGACAAGGACTTCTTTTTGTTTGTGTATATCAGGATTATGATACCGCAAAAGCAATTGGGTCGAAGTCCTATAATACTCTTATGGGGGAGCTTGTTGCCCTTGAAACAAGATATATGGACAGGGAACAAAAATTGAATCCTGAAGAAGATTCTGTAGATTTTGCTGCTGCAACAGCTGCTACCCTTGGAGTTCCATCTCCATGCCTTTCGAGAGGTAAATCTTTTGATGAGTCTCCATGTGCCATCTCTGAGGATCAAAAAGTGAGAAAAGGAGATATGGAGGAAGAAGCAGAGCTGATGAGAGTCTTGAAATTATCAGAGTCTGAATTGCAACCTTCAGTGAATGATTCACCTGTAATGAGTGTGAATATACGACACACACCTATCAGTTCAAAGGACGGTGAAAATCTGAATAAGACTGAAACTTCAACTCTTGCAGAAACATTGGAGGGGCATGGTGATGCTGAAAGTCAAAAGTCTTATTATCAGGAAACTCCATCTTCCTGTGATTGCATCACCTTCAGCAATTCCTGTATTGAGGTTTTGACTCCTGCAACAGTTGCAAGGGAAACTGACTGTTCAAACAAAGATAAGAAATTCCCCATCATTCAATCAACTACTAAAGAATTGAAAAAAATATAAAGTCCATAGGTCTAGTTGAGGAGAGAAGGGTTGAAAATTTGACCCAGAATGAGACTGCATCATGTGGCTGTTTACAACAGGAGCCAGCAACTGCAGAAAGCCAGATGCTTAAATCTGGGGGAGATGAAGAAGTTGAGAAGCAATCCATGTGCACTGCTGCAATTCATGTGTCAGAAGATAATCAAAGTGGTTGTGATGCAACAGAAATTTGTAGCATATCTCCATCAGGTGCAATTGATGATTCATCAAGTGACAAAATGCAACAGATTGAAGCCCTTGATGCTGTTACCTCAAGTGCTGATGGAAGCGAGCCCATTTATGAAGGAGAAGAATGCATATTGGAATGGGGAACAACGATTTGTGAAGATCGAGAACCAATTTATGAAGGTGAGGTGGTTCTTGCAGAACAAGTGGACAGAAGTACAGGAGATGCCTCAGATACAAGTTCCAAGGATGAAATTACTCCAACGCAGGGTACGAAGTGCTTGGTATAACAGAGCATATATGCAGACACACATACATGATGCATCATTAGTTCAGTTAACAATCTTATGTAGTTATTTTTATACTGCATTCATAACATTTTGATGACAATCTATTAAATTCTTTTTAGGAAAACTGATCAGTAATTTTCTGACGGGCAATGCCAGTCAGTTGACCGTATATGGGTAAGTCACTTGTTCAGCTGTGGAAACCCTTGTGTGTATGCATGTGTAGAACCGCTGCTGTGCTTTTCTTGGTGCAAGGACATTATTCATTTTGCTCTTCTTTTGGGGATATTTTGCAGCCTATGTTGCTTGCAAGATGGTCTAAAAGAACGCGAACTTTGTGTCTTTTTCCGCAATAATCACCTCAACACCATGTTTAAGGTAAATTACCATGTGGTTTGTTTCTGCCATCATAATTTAGTGAAGAATCCTGTGGCCATTATGCAGCCAGCAGCCTAACAATACCATTAACTGATTAGCAAATTCAAGAAGGAAAAAAAAAAAAAATTGTAACTTTGTTGCCTCATACTATGCTTAATTCATGCTTTTGCAGCTCAATGGTGAATTGTATATTTTGGCTACAGACCAAGGCTACATAAGCCAACCGGACCTGGTTTGGGAGAAGCTGAATGAGGTAAGATCTTTTTCAGTAAGCCAGTTTCTTGTGGGTGCCTGTCTGCAGCGGTATTGTCTTATATTTGATATAATAAATCATGATTGCTTATGAATCGGGTGAAGCAAAATACTGTCTATCCTTCTTCATGTCTTCTGGAAAATAAACTAGCTCATTTTTTTCCTTGATTCTGAATACTCTTTTTTTTCCCTTCCAAAAGAAAAAAGGAAATCTTCTGAGGTTATGATTTGATTTGGTACTTCTGTATTCCTTATTACTTGATGCATAAAATACTGGCCCATTTCAGGTGAATGGCGATACGGTGTTTATGACTGGTAACTTTAAGGAATTTAAGGTGGAAGATCACACCAACAGCACATGGGATGAGCAAAATGCAGTGGCAAGTACTGCTGTACGTACTTTTTCTTATTTCCCAATTAAATTTTTTTCTTTTCCGGATGGTGTTTGTACCAATTCTTCTGCTATTTGTACCTCATTGCTTTTGAAGAACTAATACAACCTTCTGTGCTTCAGGACTATCTTGCCAGCATTGACAGTTCAGAGAATGCAGATTCAAGTTTCAAGTAATTACTTGGAATACCACTGCATTTACATTGTCCTTGTAGCTTTTTTATGTAGGGGATGTGTAATAAGCGCTGACATGATCCATAAGGGGGCATATGCTGTTCACTATGTGCCATATGTAAAATTATACCATCATTTTGTCTATCTTAATTGTCTTTTTACTTGATTGTGTTGGTCCTGCTGTTGCCTTGGAACACTTTTCCATACATGAATTATGTCAATCTTTCTAGCTGACCCCTTGTTCATGGTGATGGTCTTCACATTGTTGCCAACCGTACATTGTATTCTGCTTGCAATCAATCATTAGCTCCTTTCCTAGTATTCAGCCTATGCTAGGAATCATTAGAACTCTTTGGAGCCCAATGTGGGGCATGGTTTGTTTATTTGAACTGTTTACAGTTTATGTCTTCATGGGCTCAGTTAATGGTTGGATGACATTGGATTGGTGTAAGCATCAAGTCCATTTCCTTTATTCGTTGACTATGATTTCTAAGAGCAGAAAATGGAAATGAAAATAAAGCATGTTTTGTTTTTATTATATGCTTCTGTAGTGGAAACATTTGTGTTGAATTTTTTTCTCATGTCCCTCAGTTTGCTAAGTGATTCTGTATGTTGGCTGATTTAGTTGAAATTCATTTCTGTATTCCTTGTTCCTTTCTTTGACAGTTCTGACCTGCAATTGGCAATAGCTCTTCAGCAACAGGAGTTTGAACAACAGCCACAGCATAGTGTGCAGCAACCAACTGTTAGCAGTTCAAGACTGGTTACTGGACCCCAGGTTGGATATCAAAATCTTTTTGTGTTTATTGGTTGTGAACTTGTGATTGAATGCTAAGAAACCACCCCCCCCCCCTCCAAAAAAAATAAAATAAAATAAAATAAATAAGTGAAGAGCCAAGATTGGTTGCCTTGGAAATTAAGGATGTACTAAATTTCTTTCAATGTCAAAGGTTGTGTGGCATCCAACTTCTGGGGAATATATCTGGCATTTGAGATTGCAAATGTTTGAGTAGTAGAGTGATTGGTGTAAATAATCTGAATTTTGGGAGACAAGAATGACTGTAGCCAGCAATTTGGATTTTAAGATGACTATAACATACAATTGTCTTATTAGAGATTAAGCTTCCATGAGAATTGCAATCTGGTTAAAATCTAGCTTGGGAATCTTAATTCCATAAGTAAATGGAAATGTTGGTGTTGAGGATATGGAAGGTCTGATCTCTAGCAAATACTGGAAATTCACATTCTCAGAAAGCAGTGGCAACTTCTTGCTTTCACAATGGCAAAAATACTATTGTAATTGGATGCATAACAGATTTGCTGCAATTTGCATTTGTTGTCTGCTGGAGTAAGGCCACCTATTGCTTGCAGCTGATTATTAGCTCACTTATTATTTATTGGGACATTATGCTGATCTTAACAGTTACGTATTGCCCTGCAGAAGCTTTGGTAACTTGTTAGGGATTGAGTTTAATTTGGAAGTTTACTATTAAAGGTATATGTTATCGTGATCGTTGTAGTTTCTATATACTGTTTATATAAACATACAAATGGTTGAGATTTAGGCATTTTGGATCTGGAATTATAATAGAGTGATCAAAAGGCAGAAACATTTGTTGGTCTTCCGGTGAATGATAAGAACTTAATTGTGGAATTGGATGCCTATGGGGATGGCTGTAGTTAAGTACAGTGTTATACCATATTTGAGAGATAATTGGTCTCAGTGGGCACGTTCTCTTAAAATGCCATAGTAATTATTTTTAATCAGTTTAGCATAGATACAGAAAGATGTTCACAGAGTGAAAGTGGAAAGAACTTAGTAATAACGAAATATTTTTGGAGTTGTTTATCCAAATACTCTAGCCTTCCATGATAGCAAATGCATAAAATTCCTTGGGAAAGTTCAAAATTTTGAAGAACTCATGCAAGACATGATATCTCTGGGTGTATTCTCTTAAAATGGCCAAATAATTGTATTGGTCAGTTTAGCATAAGGAAGGAAAGATGTTCACCGAATGAGAGTGGAAAGAATTTAGTAACAAGGAAATACTTTTGGGGTTTTTTAGTCTAATATTCTAGCATTCCATGATAATAATTGCGAAAGGTTCCTTGGGAAGTTTGGAAATTTGACTCCTCATGCAAGACATGACATATCTTCTCAAGAGAAGGAGCTTCATTTGTTCTTTGTTTCTGCTTGTATGTTTTATCTTCTTTCTTTTTTTCTTTTTTTTTTTTTTTTTGGGGGGGGGGGGGGGTGGGGGGTGGGGTGGGGTGGAAAGTACAGCTGAGAAGAGTTTCACATTGATAATATGTATATGCCGAGGTTTATACTTCATTTGCTGCTTATTTTGTTTTGTACGTAGAACTGTTAACCACTATCTCATCTAAAAGCTCAAGTTTGTAAAAAGATAGAGCTAACTTATTTATTATTACTTAAACACCATAGGAGAAATTTGAAATCAAATCTTAATCAATTGATCATGCTCTTCGTGGGAATCTGACACGGTCACGATAAACTCGAGAAAATAGAAAAGAAGAGATTTGATTTAAGTGCCATAAAACTACATCTGGTTTTGGCCCTGTTTAAATATATACGAAAATTTACAAGATGATTTATTAAATTACCCTTTAAATGCTTAATATTACTCTGTAACAGCTATTTTAGGATTGTATTTAGCTTTTATAATTGATAGAAATTGTCTCATTATCATGGTTTTGATACGCATCTCATGCGTTTGGTTGAAGAATGGATCAGGAGTGAAATTAAAACTGTGCTTTAACCGAAAGGTGCAGGTTTCAAGGGATGGTGAGAAGAGTTCTTCTTTGTCACCTAAACAGGAAGCAAAATCATTAAAAGAGAAGTGCACCGTGATGTGAAAACCACTGTGCAACCGTGCCACAGATTGGAGGTTTTTGCTGTAAATGTCTTTTAGATTGTCTTGTTGATTTATTCTCCATATAATGTCTTTTAGATTGGTGTTTTCATCTGTAAATAAAATCCATGTGTTACCACATGGCTTGGCCCTCCGATTTTGTAAGTTTCTTTCTGGCAAGCCCTAGTTTTGGATGGAAATAATAGGGTAGTTTTAGTTGGATCCCAAGATCTCCTCCCCTTTTCTCTCCTTGTTGCAGCTTGGAAAATTTAAATTAATTTGGAATACTAGTGAACTCAACCCTGGTCTTATAAATTTTCCAACTTTACTCGATTGGGTTGAGTTGGGTTAGGTTGGGTTGGATTTGCTTGTGTTTGAGCAGCTAAATTAACATGGGTTGAGTTACAACTTGGTTGAAATCTGTTGGACTTGCCTTCAGTTGTAGCTTATCAGTCACTCATTGGATTTATTTAAAGCATTTCCTGTTAAGTGATTTATATGAATCAGTAATCTTCCTTTCCCAGAGTTTCTTTATTATTCATTTAGTTATGTGGTTCAAATAAAAAAAAGAAAAAGAAAAATTATTTAAGTGCTAACCATAGGGGGTCTTTACCCTACTGCAAGATTGCGCAAAGTTAAAACGATTGGTGGAAGTAATTATAAAATAAGAGAGGTTACAGCAAACGTAAGTACAAACCCACCTCCCCTTCCCCACCACTCACAGCCCAAAAATATAGAAAGAAACATGACAAACATGGTTGATATAGTAGAGGGGTAAAACCCCCTTTTTACGGCTGGGTTAGTTTCTTTCTTTTTATTTTTTTAAAATGTAAAAATCTTGGAAAACTTTTATGCTCCACCAAAGGTTTCTTTTTAGCTATTCTTTATTTCTGTTTATTAACAAAAATAAACAATAATAATTTAGACAAAAATCATTTTGCCGCATCAAACTTTCTTCTCTCTTTTTTATTTATCCTCGTAAACTATCAATTACACCATTTATCTTCTTAAAATTAACATCATTAAATTAATCATTATATTTATCCTCTCAACTCTCAAGTATTAAACACAAGAATTTTTTAAAATATTATTATGGAAATAGTTGAGTTTTAAAATTTAAATTAGTATGTTATAATTGATACAGAATATTGCTAAATGTATTTAATTTTAGATAATCAAATTAAAATATGGCTAAATTTTATAAATTTAATTTAAATTATTTACGCAATCTAACAAAATAAAAAAATTGTCATTAGTTTTACAAAATTAATTTAGATTATTTGAAAAAAATAATTTTTGCCATAATTTTATGATGCTATTATGAAGCAAACAAAAAAATGCAAATTTACTTGATTTAGTTTGATGGTTAAGTTTCAAACTGCAATATTTGAATATATTTTACTAAATTCAAATCATTTGTATCTAGCTAAGGACTTTTTATTTATCTAGGTTATTCAAATATATAATCTAAATATATTTTATAAAATTTAGGCGTGTTTTAATTTGTTGTATAAAATTAAAAATATTAAATAATATTTATTATCAATTATAACATGTCAAACTTAAATTTTAAAAATTTAACAATTAACTATTTTAATAATAATATTTATAAAAAAATATTTACAATTAGAGAGTTTAAGGAGTAAATATAACGGTTAGTTTAATGGTGTTAGTATTACGGGGTTAAATCATATAATAAATAGTTCAACAAGTAAATAAAATAGAGAAAAAAAATTATCACGACCCGGGAGTCGGATCCATGACCAGCACTAAGGTGAGAATAAATACTAACTCCGCAAGCCTTCCATATACAAAAATACTGATACACTAGGAAAAATGATACTAGTGAGTCAAATCTGAAATATAATCATAAATGTCAAACCATGTCTTTACAACGAAAAGAAAAAAGTGTCTGTAATCACCAAGTTAACTAAGAACAGAGTAGATACATAAAACCAAAGGAAATAAAGACTAACTAGTATAATTGGAACTCAAATCAACAGCACCACGTAATTCACTCACGCAACGGGATTTATCGGTAGAGTTGAACTAGAGTCTGGAAAAATAAAAGAATGAGTCTATCGTCCTAGTGAATAATAATACATATTTATATGGCGAGAGACATATATCGAGTGTTATTGTCATAAAACATAAATTTTAAATTATACAAATTAGGGAGTTCGATACCAAGAACTAAACAAAAACAGGACGGCAACTCAATGTATGCCGATATACAAATATCAAGACGACGACTCAAAGTTTGCCGGTAATCAATAAATAGGTCTACCACTTTAGCCACACGTGATAGTCTAGCACCATCCCTGCTAGCTAGGAATAGAGGCCGAAGTGCACCTAATCTAACGCCTGCTACTATTAACTATAGTGTTCTAACAGTTCGATATTTCCTTAAAGTCAATTATCAGAGTTTAACAGGATAAGTTATCAGTTTTCAAGGCATCATTAGTATATCAGTGTTCAAAATCAGAAATTCAGAAGTTTTTTTTTCTAACAAATCACATAATGACATATATGTCCCTTGTAACTTTTATAGCAATTTAAGTTCAACTGGATAATAACTTAAATAAATTTTAATTTATATAAAAACTAAAAATTTAAACAAGTAAAATCACATTTAAACATATAAATATCTACTATTACTCATAGAAACTGAGAATCATGAAAATCAAGTTTCGCGTGATTCAGCTCCCTGAAAGTCAACCAATAAACCTAGAAATAATCAAAATGTTCATTTTAAAACGTAATATGTCTCAAAGTTAATTCAAAACTAAACTTCCCCTTAAAACCCAAACATATCCTTAGTTTTCATAATTTAAGCCATCTCAAAAGTTTTAAAGTCTCGAACCAATCAAAACCATATTGAACTAAATCTCTTACACATTGAACCGAGCATAAAACCCACTAAACCAGTGATAAAACTACTGAACCGAGCAAGAAATCCACTAAACCGGTCACAAAACACATTGAATCGCCCTTAAATCCCTTAAACTGGTATTAAAACCCACCGAACTGGCCTTGAAATACATTGAACTGGTCATAACAATCATGGAATCATATTTAAATACACTGAACCGACCAAGTTTTACGCTGAACTGGCCTTAAATAAGTTGAACTGGTGGTTT